GTATAATATGCCACTATTTTTACATTAAAATGTACTTCAATACGCGAAGGACTAACGGGACGTCACTTTAAACCTAGAGCTACCAACATTTCAACTACCCTAGAATTACCGGAGGCATCATAATCCACCGGACTTAAACATACCTGCTTGGAATTATTTTCGGCAATATGTGTAGAAAAAGAAGTCCTTGGGGTAAAAGGTACCTTTTAAAAGGAAGAACCAATGACAGGTGCACTATCTTGGAGACCAGCAGCTGGCATTGCGCGCAGCGAAAGGGCGACCTCTCGTCAGTTTACGGAAAAATAAAAGAGCATTTGCTTGCCATGCTCATCCTGCAAACTCTACATTTCAGTCCCTCACCCCGGAAATGGCTGCTGCTTGGCCAACTTGCTGGATTTTTCTCAGCCAGGCTGGTCATTCTTTGAATGCTGTGATAAATACATTTACGAGCGAAAGGAGAACGTGGTGTCGCGATTCATAGCAAACGAATAATTTCCGTTCGCCGTCGTGTCCGGAGACCATCTTCGTGATCAAGCTTCAAGTAGCAGAGTACTTCCTGGAAACTATTTTTTGGGATTTTACATGATTATAATTATGGCGTCCATTCCTATCGAGCCGAAGGGCCGTCGGCAAATTATTGCGGGTTCAGAGGACGCCTCTTGCGAAAATTTGCGAAACCAATTCCATGATATTGCCTTCACTCAAAGTAGAGTCCTATCCTATTAAATGTTCTGTTTTCCCTGCTACCTTGTGCACGTGATCATGACATGGATCATATTCTGGTCAATAAATGCAAATAATGCATCTGCCCCACCTTCAAAATTGTGAATATCCCGGAAAAGCCCGCAAACTTCGGAAGCAACAACCGGTTGCGAGCATTCGCGTTTGCTTGGAGCAACAAATTTCCAATATCTACCGACTTTGCCAGAGAACCCAGTTTCATGAAGGAAAACCTGCCCGAGTTTTGGAGATTGATGTTCTGTTATGTGTATGGCTCCATAGCTTTATCACCACCATTATCCGCTTGCTCCCTCGACTCAGGTCCGGATCAGACTGATCGAGAAGCCGGAGCAATTAGTATCCACTCATCTTCATCTGGAGCATAATAACTATGTGTCTCTGGGTTCGGTCACTTCTAATTGCTCGCGCACAAAGCTCCATGCACTCTCCTCGCATTCATCCCCAAACTCCTGCCCAAAAATTTCAAAATCAAATGAAATGCTTTATCGGCAGCGACACTGCGCCTACTGAACATGGCTTCCGCCAGACCAATGTAAACTCAAAGGAAGTTCCTAGAACATTACAGCTGCCCTGGCACTTCATATCGTTGTATATCGCAGATGACATAGTGGATCACTTTCCAAACTTCGGACGAACAAATTTGTCTGTTTCGGCAGGATTCAGGATTACGATATTGACCATAACGACACGTGAAATACTTCGAAGTATGCATAATTATTAGCATGTCCATATGTACAAATCACCACCTTCATGATCCCCAATCTCCTTGCTCCCAAATGTATTCCTCTTCGCGTTATTCACGCGTGGTTCTAAGCCAAATTCGCCCTCTTATTGATGCCTATGGTATGTGGAGTCATATGATGCAGCGCGGTACTTCTAGGTAGCACCCCCTGGCAATTCGGAACTGTACTAAATTTTTGAAAACATAACCCACTCCCATTAACAAAATACAAAATAAATAAAAGTCACAAAATTTGGGGAGATTCTAAGCCCCCATATAACAGCAATCCCATTTTGAAATTCGCAAATGCATCATAATTTTATGATGCCTGCGGTAGTTCTAGGGCTAAAATAATTTCTGTCGACTTCCCCGCCAAAATATATAATATTTCGTTGCACGTGTAAGAGGCGCACGTGTGCACCGCTACTTTTCACGTCAAGCCGGCTGTCCAATTAATGTATTGTCAAGTATATTGGTGGAAAAAATGGAAATTTATAGGCACAAACGGTAAAGGGTAACTTGAAAATGAATGATTAGCCTGATATTAATTTTGTTCACTTTCTAACTGTGCTAGCAATTTTGTTTCGGAGGAAACTATGGTAGAATGTCATCAAGTTTGCCGTGAGCAAGCGCCTTGGTCAGTACCAGTTTTCTTAATTAATTATTGCAGGTCTTAATTCATTCTGATGTACCATCAGATTGCTACACGAGTGTTCGGTACCGCCCCATCAATGGGAATCGATAAATAAATCATTTTATAAGATCCACTGCTGTAAGTTCATCATAATTATTGATAGGGAGTTAGTCAGAGGGAAATAATTCTAGCTATTTCTTTCATGACACATGGAATCGTGATTCCGATAAGACATTTTGTGCAATTATATCGTAAGGCGCCGATGAAAACACACTTTATTTTATTAGTGCCTTTCTTGAAAGTTTAATGGGGTCATTCTCTGCACTTGTGCCAGTGGTTGTGAGACTTATCCACTCACCCCCACCGTCAGGCGCTGCATCTACCGCTAGGGTTTACCGGGTGTTAGCGGCCGTCGTGAGTTCCCTTCGGGAACGGACACGATAATTTACTCTTTTTAAAAATGTTTTTCGTTAGTACAACGTAGCTTCCTGAGGGAATGTTGCGCGAAAACGAGTTTGAAGTATTCCATTAATTTTCTTTCAAATGTTCTCATTGATCTGAACATCACGTGCTGCTTGGCAGCTGATGAGCATCAAGACAGTAAAGACAATGCATGTACCAGTCAACTGTTAGGCCAGGCCGTGGTTACCTGGTTACCTGGTGACGCATGGTTACGCTGGAATAGTATGCCAATCAATGGCATTATGCGTATGTACGCACGCACAAGCGCGCGCGCACACACACACACACGCACACGCACAGCCACATTCGCCGATGAACACACGTGCACGCACACAAGAAATCACAGGAGAAGATAGATTGGCTTGTGGTGACGAAAGTTGGTCAGAGATCGGAATAAGATGGTGATTGGAAATCATTAAAAGACGGATACGGCTGTGGAATGGAAATCACTCTAAGCTGGAAAGGCTGTTAAAAATGGAATTAATTCCAAGACGGAACGTTGTTCAAAATCATTGAAGACATTGCAGGGCCTGGTGACTTAAGAAATTGGTTTCAAAACCGAACAAGAAAAGAATTCAGAAGTGTGTTTGCTGGAGGCATCTAACAACATGAAACTGGCGGGGAAAACCCGATGCAGATCTACACGAGCAGCCGAGACTTGGAAGAAATGTACAAGAGCAACCGAGACATGGAATAAATGGGAAATGAATCACGTTGCATTGTCAGTCAGCACAATCCGAGAAGACATGTTGGAAAGAGAGAAAGAGAGAGAGAGAGAGAGAGAGAGAGAGAGAGAGAGAGAGGTGTTTGCAGTTCAGCAGATTACAAGCAGAACAATGAATAGGTCAGCGGAAAAGACTGGATCGAGTGCATCCAGGCCTAGCAAGAAATTAACCAGCCGCAGCTTGGCATTGGCGAGTCAGGAACACAGCGGAAAAATCAGCCAATGAAAGTTGTAGCATGGATAATGAAGCCTCCAAGGAGGGGGGGGGGGGAGGGAGGGGGTACACTAGTTTAACAGAACACGAGGCGTAGACTATAGCAATAAGCAAGGGGGTCGCAAATAGGAACAGGGGGATGTCAAAACCATTCAGAGGTTCAAAGAGAGAACAGGAACAAAGAATTCGAGTACATGCTGTGTATATAGAAGAATACAAATGCAAACAGCGCTACAAGGACCGCTACTTGGTAAGAGTCTGGCAGTTCATACTGAAGAGTAGGATTGCAGACTGCTCTACATGGACTGCTACTTGGATGTGTCCGGTGAAATGAACATAAGACTGACATGCAATTGGCAAGCAGCTATATGACACAATGGCGAATAGTAAGAAGAAGGAGATGTGATGGTGCAGAATGCAGAGACAGCCACGGAGGACGGATCGGAGGGGCGACGTAAACGTAGCTGCATTCACTCGTTTTGTCCAGCACCAAAATACACAAGCTACAACCTGTAGACAAAGAAATAACATGAAAAAACAGTTAAAACACAAAATTCGGATGTGATGAATGGGGAAGAGAGAGAGAGAGAGAGAGAGAGAGAGAGAACGAGAGCCAGAGCCAGAGACAGATACAGAGAGAGACAGAGAGAGAGACAGACAGACAGACAGAGAGAGAGAGAGAGAGAGAGAGAGAGAGAGAGAGAGAGAGAGAGAAAGAGAGAGAGAGAGAACGAGAGACAGAGCCAGAGACAGAGACACAGAGACAGAGAGAGAGAGAGAGAGAGAGAGAGAGAGAGAGAGAGAGAGAGAGAGAGAGAGAGAGAGAGAGAGAGAGACAAGGACAGAGACAGAGAGACTGATACATAGAGAGATAGATAGGTAGAGAGAGAGCGGGTATGGTATATGGTACACTAAGGTGAGTTGAATCGCTTTGACTGCAGCAATGCAGTATAAAAAAGGAAAGGTTCCTGAAGGAGGGGTGGTAAGAGATGTTGAGGTACTTTCTGGCAATATTTATTAATGTTGTTTTGATTCGGAATTATGCTTCAGACAGCAATATTGTTAGATATCTACGAGTTAGTACGGGTTTCTACGGGTTTCTACGGGTTCTGCGTGTTCGTAGATGTCTATGAGCTGCGAATAGCGGGTATACCAGTGGACTGCTCAACTGCACATTGGTTGCCAATGTCGGGTGATTTGACCTTTGATCATGATACCGGTGGATATGTCATAATTAGTATGATTTCATGCCAATCGATGGCTGTACACTGTGGTGTGTGTGTGCCAATAA